TAGCACAACTAACCGGCACTCTTCGAAACAGTATAGACTACAAGTGTAATCGATGGTCGTCTCTAGAGGACGGACCGAGTCAATAAAACACGGGTTTGAAAACTAATTCACTGACACCTGTGATAGGAACTCTTCCAACTCCGTCTGTAAATCCCGCGAAAGTGTGTCCTCATGAAAAAGGTCCTTTATCAGTCTATAAAGAACCCTAAAACGAAAGTGAGTTTTTCTAGACCTTGTCTTGTACGTTTTGAAAAGTGGGGAAAAGTCAGGACGATTCTCTCTACCATGAAAGGACCCTCCTTTCAAGGTTTAAGACTAACCGACCGCTTACGTTTCGGATGCGGGACATTTTGAGGCTTTGCAAAACCTTCGGCGGTAAAATAAACGAGCGTTCTAATATGTATCGGGATCGCGAGAGTATATATATCTCTCATACACGATTGAAATTGTGTGTTTTTTTTATGCACCCTCGCCACCTCACTCCTCCACACGCGAGACCGCTAATGAGGGCCCTGAAGCCTCCGTCATATGCGGAAATTCACAAAACCGGACGAGCATTTAGGGTTTCGTCTTCTTCTCTTACTGCAAGTCGCCCGAAGAAACGCGTAGAGGGAGTACCAGAATAAGGCCACACTTGCGCCTAGATGAGAAATACAAGGTCCTTTGACCTTATTTGATTGCTAAACGGAGAACAAGAGGTCATTAGGGTATAAGAAACAAGTAAAGGTAACTTTCCTCAGTTCTCTTCACACTCAACAGTACCTACTTGAACGTTGAACATCCACGGACTCTGTTCTGGACTATCTTTTAAGACTGAGGGGCAGAGTCCACTACTTCAACCCTAGGTGTATACCGAGGTACACTACCGTACATTGGTGACCTGTCCGCGTTCCGCAGGTAGTCAAACATTGGTTCGCCAACCAAATAAGAAATACTATAACGAATGTAGGCTCCGGCTGGTATCATAGACTAAGTACGAAGTAGGTGCTGTCGTAAGGACTTTACCGCTACTGGGAAAAAAAAACATTACCTGACTAACCTGAGCCTCTTCTACCCCAGATTGGAATTGCTTACCCGCAGTAATCTAGAAACACAACAGTTGGTGTGACTACTCCGGTAATAAATTAGTTTTCGCCTAAACGAGACATGAACGTAGACTTTACGAAAGTACACACATGTAGTGAGTGACAGTTCAACTGGCTCATGTAGCACAGAATAACTTGTCTCGACGGGTGGGCTCACACCTTATTCCTTACGGGTATTTGTATCGACTGCCTCAGAGCAGAGGTGACTAGCGCAGTGTTCTAATGGTCAACTTCGTCACGACACCGTTAACACTACAATGTGTTACTTTCGTAAAGTCTACCGCCAGACCCACCATCATATGTCGCTCCAACTCCTTTGAGTCAGTAAGAATACTACCACTAGAGAGAATCCCTATCTTATCTTACCCGGAGTACTCTGTAAGTCGTAATCATCTTTTTAGGTAACCTTGTCCCGTTTGAATGCAACAACCAGCATGCTGTATATGAGCGTGTTCTTCAATACGCGTTACGTGCCTGGGTAACAAATTCCAATCTGGTAGAAGAGGCTCGAGTTAGTCAGTATAGTTTATTGACTACAGCTGACGGTAAAGGTCCGTTACCGACAGACACAACCCTACTTCATTGGTCACCTCCGCCCTACTAGTGCAGTATAAGCGTAAAACTTGTAGTTTTCCTCTTCACACCGCAGCGGAGCAGCCTCTTAGCTCCGGAATCCGATTCATTTCGAGCACCAAAAGATTGTCCGGCCAGAGCAAAAGCACCACCTACGTCACGCTTATGTCGAGGCGGGGGAAGGGGCAGGGGCGGGATCAGCTCCTGAACAACAACAAAAAGCTGGCTTTTTATCCAGTTTGTACACAACGATGGAGAAACTTAACAAGCAGCAGTGGTCCACTGACGAGACCAGCTACCTACTGGGAATCTGGTCTCCCAAAGAGGTACAGAGGAAGCTGGAGCACAATCGGCCATTGTTGTTGTTGTCGGTGTCAGCTGTGAGGGGTTTCCGCGCGGTTTGGCTTTATGAAGCAGGCACGCAAACGGTTACGTCATGACGCAAACGATGACGCAATGACGCAGCACCAGTCGGACTCTGGGCAGTTTGAAAAGAGCCGGAGCTAAACCGAAGAACCGGTTCTGAACCTGAAAAGCTCTAGCACGGGGCTTGCACCGGAGTTGCGTTGGTGTGAATTAGGTAACTGTGACAAACGCACTACCTATGCATGTGAGAAATGCAAAGCACCACGGCACATTGAGTGCTTCAAGATGTACCATGGACAGTAGAAAGGGAACTATAAGTGAATGCAAAGAGGCTGTAATAGCTATAAACAAGGCAGACCCAATAAAGGCTGTGGAGGTGCAGTACGAAGGACAAGTCCATGACAAAGGGGAAAAGTCCAAAATGACTGGATGGTTAATCAAACAGTAGATTGTAGTTCAAAATAGTGATGCACAAACTAATCGTGCACTTGGTTCTAAAGCCTATGATATATATATATTGCAATTTTGTTCAGAGGAGGACGCCTATTCTACATGCTACCTTTTCTAAATGTTACCTTTTATGTTCAATGTGAATGAATCACACAAGTGGCTGTGCAGTTGTTTGTGAATGTTGCACTAAAATAACAGAAAGACAAGGTTACAAATATTGTACTTAAGTAAAAGTTCAAATTTAACAACAGATGTATAATATTAATGTTTCGATATGTGTTGCACTAAAATAGAAATGTTGAAACACGTTAATGGTTCATATTGGTGTTGTATCAGGAATTTTGATATGTAAAAACTAAAAAGTCTTACTTGAATTTGATGGGGATCGCCAGTGACAGTTTTAAATGTGTTGATAACTAGGCTTGGATGTATACAAATTTGGATGACTGCATAGGAGAAGTATGCCAATTCCATATATGTATTTTCATGGCAACACATAATCCCACTGGTCACAATTGTAACATAAAACAATGATTGATTTTTTCAAAGGGTTACTAATGACACAATATATGGATATTTACATGTCTGGGAAAAATGAGGGATTAAATGGGTTAAAATATTTCCTTCCTCCATCAAAAGATGTTGAGTCCTATAACTGCGTATGATTAAAGGCATCACACATTACATTAATATTTCAATTTCATTCTGTCTAGTTTTTTAAGTTTGCATAATATACAACATCCCACCCACAAGAAAACATTAAGACAAAAGTGGAATTTTCAACTTTAATCACATTATTAACAATTCTATAAGTAATAAAGACTCAGCCCATTCATCCACCGAACTAGATACAGTATCTGGTATTCTTTAACATAGGGAATGGTTTCCATATCCCTACAGCATAATCTTTCTTTCTGTGAAAAGTTAAACGTACACACACAGAATGACCAACTGAATAACTTGGCACCAAGGCCATTATTTCAGACAAAGGACAAGCACACAGCGGGGCAGCCACTTGTGCAGGCAGTGTGCCTGACAGTTCAGTCAGAGTTGAACCGCCCCATCTGATGCTGTCAAGAGACAATGTTAAAGTCAGAAGGCATTTCTTTGTTTCCAGGGATCCTCCTCTTTGTCGTGTAAAAAAAAAAAAAAAAGATTGAAGAGAACGAAGGATGAAGTGCACAAGCAGCGACATTTTGGAGAATAGGTGGCCACACAGATCTACTCCAACACAACGGTGCCGCCTGCTGCCTCCAGGGATGCTTTCAGTTTTTCTGCCTCTTCTTTGGATACATTGGCTCGGATTTCCTGGGGGAGAGCCTCCACTAGTTTTTTTGCCTGGTGTGGGATGACAGAGGAAAAAGATGATTTAGTAAAAGGTTACCCAATCTGTGAAAACCGGAAATATGGCATTGTCCTGAGCCAAATTCCAAAATATATTTTATACTTTTATTTTTTTAATAAAAAGGTGCCCTGCGAAGTTTTCTTGAAACTAAAGTTTCTGACCTTAAGTCTAACTAAATTGTTTACTTTATTTGTACTTGCAAAGAAAACTGTAATGAAAATGACAGATCCTTCATTGTTTAGAACAGTGTTTGCTAACATGTAGCCTTCCTCTTGGTGTGTTGGTTCCTCTCTGCATTTCTTGGCACGTTATCGCCATCTACTGTCAATCTGCAAGAATGACTGGGTAGCAGCGACGTGCAGTCAGGGGAGGCAGAGCCTCACCTGTCATACTCCAATGTAACGGAAAAAAAACTAAATAATAAAATGTCTCCACTGATCTGTGTTGTAAAATGAGATTTCTGTATGATTCTAATCGCTTCTTATAGTAAAAATGGGAAAATTTGCAGAGCTTCGCTACAATTACATGGGAGCGATGAGAAGTGAGGCAGGGACGAGCTCTGCCTCACGTAACCCTACAGAAACTGGCTGGAGCACGGACACTAATTTAGCGCATGCACTTATTTTGTGAGCGCGCTCAGCCAGTTTCTGTGGGGTAAGGTGAGGCACAGATGAGCTCTGCCCAGTCGATGGCTCTGCCTCACCTCAGATGCGTCACCCCACAGAATCTGGCTGGAGCGCGGACACAAAGCACATGCCTGTTACCATCTCACTGTAGGTCACAAATGTAATGTTTGTAGATTCCTTTATTACATGTGTCCTCGCCATCCATAGTCTCCAGTGGCGGCCGGCCCATAGGGGCGCTAGGGGCGCCGCCCCCCTTCTTCCCACATGTTTGATTGTCATTAAAAATTAAAAATAAATAAAAAAATATATTTAAAAATTTTCTTTTTTTT